GAGAGAGAGAGAGAGAGAGAGAGAGAGAGAGAGGAGAGAGAGAGAGAGGAGAAAGAGAGAGGAGAAAGAAAGAGGAGAGAGAGAGAGAGAGAGAGAGAGAGAGAGAGAGAGAGAGAGAGAGAGAGAGAGAGAGAGAGAGAGAGAGAGAGAGAGAGAGAGAAAGAGAGAGAGGAGAGAGATAGAGATAGAGAGAGAGAAAGAGGAGAGAGAGAGAGAGAAAGAGAGAGAGAGAGGAGGGAGAGAGAGGAGAGAGAGAGGAGACAGAGAGAGAGAGAGAGAGAGAGAGAGAGTGAGAGAGAGAGAGAGAGAGAGAGAGAGAGAGAGAGAGAGGAGAGAGAGAGAGAGAGATAGAGAAGAGAGAGAGAGAGAGAGAGAGAGAGAGAGAGAGAGAGAGAGAGAGAGAGAGAGAGAGAGAGAGAGAGAGAGAGGAGAGAGAGAGAGAGAGAGAGAGAGAGGAGAGAGAGAGAGAGAGAGAGAGAGAGAGAGAGAGAGAGAGAGAGAGAGAGAGAGAGAAAGAGAGAGATAGACGTAAAAAAGACATAGAGATATACAACGCCTTTTGTTTAATGCCTGTTTAGTCTATTAACCAATTTAGAAATGACCTGTTGCAGACGCCTCCTCCCTTCTAATTGCATCCTTGAACACACCTTCCTCGCTCGCCCTCCCCCCCTTCATCTCCTTGCCCCCTCGCCCCCTCCCCCCGCCCCCTCCCCCGCCCCCCCGTCTCCCCCTCTCGCATCATGTCCTTCCTTCACCTTAACCTCTTACCCTCCCCCCCTCCCCTCCTCCCTCCTCCTTCTGATTCTTCTTTTCCTACTATCCCCACCCTCCTTCTATTCTTTCTTCTTCCTCTACTTCTCCTCTTCCTCCTTCTTCTTCTTCCTTTCTTTCTATTCCTCTCCTTCCTCCTTCTTCCTCTCCTTCCTCCTTCTTCCTCGCCTTCTCTTCCTTCTCCCTCTCTCCCTCTTCCTCCTCCCATCCCCATCCTATTCTAGCATTCCTAACACAAACCATCCTCGTCATCTCCTTCATCCATCCCTCCCTGCTTCCCCCCCTTCCACTCCCTTACCCTTCCCTCCCTCTCTCCCTCCCTCCCCCCTTCCACTCCCCTTCCCTTCCCTCCCTCCCTCTCTCCCTCCCTCCCCCATTCCACTCCCCTTCCCTCCCTCCCTCTCTCCCTCCCTGCCTCCTTCCCCCTTTCCACTCCCCTTCCCTTCCCTCCCTCCCTGCCTCCTTCCCCCTTTCCACTCCCCTTCCCTTCCCTCCCTCCCTGCCTCCTTCCCCCTTTCCACTCCTTCCCTTCCCTCCCTCCCTGCCTCCTTCCCCCTTTCCACTCCCCTTCCCTTCCCTCCCTCCCTGCCTCCCTCCCTCCCTCCCTCCCCTCCCTCCCTCTCAATTCCTGTATCCAGGGCCTTTCCTAGCGCACCCTCCTCCCTCCTCCCCCCTCCCCCCTCCCCCCAACCCCCAAACCTTGACCCTCTCAGCTTCAAGTTCATAATTCCTTCCACAAGGTTATATATATATTTTTTTAACTTCTCATTTTGTTTGTTTCTGGACGCTCTTAGGGAAGGGATGATGATGATGATTATTATTATTGTTATTATTTTTGCCAAACAACTAGTCTTTGGACAGTCGCAGTATGAATATGAACATGCGCACTCACGCACACGCACGCACACACACACACGCACGCACACGCACACACACACACAATCACTCACACTCACGTACACGCACATACACACACACATACGCGCACACACACACACACACACACACACACACGCACGGACGCACGCACACACACACACACACACACACACACACACACACACACACACACACACACACACACATACACACCACAATATCTGGATTTCTTCAAACCTACGTAGTCTTTTCTCACTAATTCGTTTCACTTCCATGACTAAACAAAACAGATGAATAAACAGGCAAATAAATGCGCAAATAAATGAACAAACAAATTAATAGATAATCAAAAACAAACAGATTAATACACAAACAAATAACAGATACATAAATTATTAAATGAATAAATAATTAATAGAGCAAAAATACATTTCAAAACACCGAGAAGGGCAAGGATATGGTAACCTATACAGTACACACCCATTATCTTAAAACCAGTCATGAACTTTGCTATTTTTTTCTTCTAAAAGGAACAACTTCGCTTTTGTCATTTTCCTGCTATTTCGAAACTGTTTCGGAGCTAAACAGTGAAACAAATGTCACCACACAAGAGACAATTTGTTTTTTTTTAATGTGAAGTTGGCGTGAATGCTAAAACAACACGTAGTAAGAAATGGAAGGTAAAATCGGGAGAGAGAGAGAGAGAGAATTAAGCTTATGAAATGTGAAAGAACAAAGGAAAGGGCGCTGGACTATTTTTTTTTGTTTCAGTGAACAGACTCAACGTGACACTCCATGCAATTTCGTGTGTTCGATTACCATTACTAATAATATACAGTCAATACTATGA